TTCACTCTGTCTGCATTAATTATAACATACCCTTTAGAATTTTAATAGATGTCTTTTATCAGCTTGAGAAAACACTCTATTTGTTGTTTTTTGAGTATTTTTGAACTGCTGCTTGTAGAATTTTTAAAAATATTTTTGTCTACAATTATTGAGAGGATAACTCAGCATTTGTCCTTGAATCTGTTGATAATTTATTATAACTATTTTTTAGATGGAAAATCGTAATGCATTCCTGGGATGTTTCCTATGTTCTCTGCATGTAAAATATTTTATATACTTTTGGATTTAGTTCTCTACTCTTTCCTTGAAATTCACATGCATATATTAATCAAGCATTTTGGTCTTGATATTTCTGTGTTGCAATGTCTTTGAGAGGTTTAAATAACAGCATCTTACTGCATGTGATGGTGTTTCTCCCTCCTCCCCCCCCCCCTTGTCTGTTTTTAGGAGGATATTTTTGAAATACATGTTAATCCTTCTTTAAAGGAATCAATAAGTCTCTCTACTCCAAGAACTTTCTTTCTATGTCATTATTTATTACAAATCTAGCCTCTTTTTGTATAGGTTTGTTTGTTCTTAGTATATATCACAGAATGGTTTTTTTAGAGATTTTCAAATTTAATCTTATCTTCAATCTTGATGGCATAAAACATTCATAGTATTTTCTTCTAATTAATTTTAATTTCTGTATGTCTGGCAGTTATATCTCCACACTCAAATGTGTCTTTATGAATGTGAATCTTTCTTTTGGGGTCATTCCCTCTAAAGATCTTTTAATTTTGATTTTATTTGAAAGAATTCTTTTTTCTTTTCACAAGGAGTTTAATGATTTAAATTAGGATTTGTCTCCTTTTAAATTATAAAGTTATTAATGAATGCATTCTGGGCTGCTTCATCCTTCCCTCCCTCCCTCAGCCCACCTGTTTTCCACCTTTTGGCCCTCCAACCTAGCTTTTCCTGGGCCTACTCACAGACATACCCAGGAAGGAGAAAGATAAGGGGAAGAGAGCAGGAGAACAAAGGAAGCCTAAACATTTCCTTCCTGCTAGATTTGAATTTATTATTAAATATATGAATATACCTTTTTGAAGGTATATTCATGTATTCAATAATATATATTAAATTTGAATATACCTTTCAAATCTTTCTTCATTACTTCAATTTTTCTACTTGGAAATGATATAACCCTTCTTTAGTTTTTCCCTTTTTGTTTTTGTTGTGGTTGCTAATTATGTGATGTACCATTCTTTTATATTAGGCATTTTGGGGAAATTCAAAAGCACAGGAAGGATTTTCCCAAAACACTAACAAACATTGGAAAGAAAAAGAAAAGCTGTAAAAGGAAAACACAACTTTAAATTTGATGTAAATAGGTAGTTTGAATTTGTTGTACCCATAACAAAATTTGGAGTGATTGATAGGAATGAGGTCAGTGGGAAGATCATGGTGCACAGGGTTAAAACTTTAGCATCTCCAGGCCTTTATTGAACAAGTACTACATAAGACCACAAGACTTGGGGCTGTGCATTGGGATGAAACCTGGATTAGCTTTCAGTGAAGCAACCTAAATTGTGGCAAGAAGGGACTTAAGTAACACATATCTAGCCTTTTAAAAATAGATCTGATGTCCAAGGCCACAAAATGGAGAGACTTGTCCAATTCCAAAGAAGGAGAATTTGACTTTTCTTCCTTTAAATGTATGAATTTTAAGGTATAAGTTTCCCTTGAGGAAGAGGAATACCTTTTAATATAGTCATTTAAAGGTATAGACTTCCTTCCAAATAATAAAACCAGAATTGGTCAGGCAGTCAGTATAGATAGGTAAATTGAGTCAGGTCAAATCAGGAGGCCAATTTTGAGTGTGTCTGGGAAGTTGGAGACGACCCCCTGAGTGCTTGAAAGTTAATTCCTTCAGAAACCTTCCTCCATTCCTATTAAGAACCTGATCCTGTTCCAACATGTTGCTAAGGTAACCTGTCCTATGAATTGCCCCTCCCTACAGGGAGTTATAAAGTTGTTAAATTAATGTGTTCTGGGCTGCTCCATCCTGCCCTTCCTCCCTCAGCCCACCTGTTTCCCACCTTTTGGCCATCCCACCTAGCCTTTCCTGGGCCTAGTCACAGACATACCCAGGAAGGAGAAAGATAAGGGGAAGAGAGCAGGAGAAAAAGGAAGCCTAAGACATACAAAAAAATATTTCAGCATGTGAGAAAGCAGAACTTGTCACTGGTATCCAGCAGTATCGTAAAAAACCCAGCCTATCTTAAGATTGGGAGCCATCTCATCAGAAAGTCATGAAAGGTAATTTCTGTTTTACTATAAATTACTGTGATTTCTAAACTTGCTTGAAATGCCTGCCTGTGTCTTGAACTCACCCATGCCTGGCTTTCCTTGACCAGATAACAACCCTTTCTGAAACTTAGTGGTACCTCATAAATTCTGGTTTTCCCTGACCAGATAACAACCCTCTTTGAAACCTTAGGGGTGCCTCATAAATTCTGGTGTTGGGATCTAAATTTGCTCCCTAACTTGAAATGTTGAGCTATTTAGATCATTATCCTACTATCTGCCTTTGTATTATGCTTGTCAAAATCCTGTTATCTGTAAGTTCTCAAGACACCCCCCCTTTTGCAACTTTTGTGTTATAAAACCATGCTCCTAGAGAGCTGGTGTACTGTCCTCTAACCCACGGATTTCAGGAGAGACAGTCCCGGCCAGTCGGAATTACAAGCTTGCTTTAATTTGATTTAAAATTGGAGTCAGTGGCCTTTTCCTTGCATTGTGGTTTAACAATCAATACTGTTTTCTATTAGTTGAAGTATGATCTAAAACTATCCAATTATTTTAATAATTTTAAATTATTTTTTAATCATCCTTTTGACTAATTTTTTACCCATTTGCCACTCAGAGGTGTTTTTGTGGACTTTTTGATTTTGAATTTTTCAAATTTCTTTTCACATTCATTGTCAATTTTATTTTATGCTTTGTATAATTTCAGTTCACTTACTTTAATAGATACTTTAATGATACTTCTTGGGAGAGGTTACTATGCACTGAAAAATATCATAGATTTTTTTTTTTTTGTATATAACATCATGGAAATACCTCTTAGATATCAACTGGGGTGATGTTCTAGTCTTCTTTTTCCTTGTAATATTCTTCTGAGAATCCTTTCATTTGAAACTGCACTAATGATGTTTCAAACTGCTATCATTATTATCTTGTTGCTTCAAAACTTTCTGTTTTATCTTTCAGCCTCTGATGTGGCTGTGTTTGGATCCTCCTTGGATTTGAGGGATTTCTGAGTTTTTCCCAGAGACTATAATTTGTCATTCCTTATCTTATAAACATAACCCCTCATATTTAAAATATAATGTATTTTTATCATCAATATTTCAACCATGTTCCATTTAGAATGTATTTTGTAGTTACACGAAGGTTAAAATAATGATGGAAATTTTCTAGTCACTTAATGATGCAAGTTAATTTTGTTGTGCACAACAATTATTTTTAGGAGTATAGCAAGTTAATAAACAGATTCTTCACAATTCCATGACATAGGTTATACCATAATATTGACATCTATTTCACTGGTGAGGAAACTGAGTCACAGATAATTTAAACAACCAGCTCAACCCCACATACCTTTGTAGTACTTGTAGGGACTAGTGTCAATGCTATCTGGAATCAGAGTATAAACTCTTTACCAAATGCTATACTGATTGTCCTTCCTGGGTAATAGCTGTTTTCAAAATTTTATATTAAGTCTCTCATTTATGTACATATATCTATATGTTAATATAAATAGAATCATATAGTGTATGAAAAAATAAATGACATTATATATTTATCTATCACTACACAAAAACTAACCCTCAAATATAGGGGCTTAGAATATCCATGTTTTTTTTTAATATTATCTTTTACTGTTCTGGGTGTTGGCTCACTTGAACATGGTGGTTCTTGAATGGAATTTTTCCAGTACTTACAGATCTGTGATAGTTGATGTTGAATAAGTTGAAGGTTATTTCCTCACATGTCTGGTGATTGGGAGTCCATCTACTTGATGCCTGAAATAATGGGGACTTCTTGTGCTTATCTTTGTATCCTCCACAAAATGCTCATTTATCATGAAGACTACAATTCTGACTCAGGGCTCCAACATGAGTAGAGGAAGAAAGAGAAAAAGTCACAAAGAAAATCAAGGGGGAGGGAGAATTCAGTGCCTTGATTAACTAAGTCATGGAAGAAAACTGCATGACTTCCAGTGCAATCTCCATGATGAGACTGTCAAAGTGCAATGAGAGGGGCCATGGCTCAATGGGACCATTGTTCAAGTGTTTGTAGTCTTTTCTCAAATTGCTGCAGATGTAGACTTTTGAAGTAGCTATCAGAAAGTTCTGTGCTACTATGAAATGTATTAAAATGTTGGTATTAAATCCAAATTTATATCATAAAAAATTGTGTGAATCTAGAATGCTCAGTGATGGAAATTTAATAACTTAAGTCATATATTTTATCATAGATATTGAATTTTGCAGTATAATATTTATGTTTCAGAAAAGGGAAACAAAGCAGATAACATATAATTGTGATGAATATCACAGTTGCCACACAGGCAAGCAGGAACCCAACCACATCCAAAAACATGTACAGGAACCAGAAGAGGTTCTGGATGGGATGGGGGAGAGTGAAAATTGAAAAACTGAGACTATGTATATGTATAATCAAAGCAGGAATGAAACTGAGACCATCTAGGTGAAACTTTTTAAAGGATTAAGAGCAAAAGTGAGTGATCTCTTAAAACCAAAGTTTTCCAATTTGATAATAGAAAGCAGGTAGGCATCATTACATTTCTAAAGCCACTGAGAAATGACTTTCCCTTCATACATCTTTTAGGAAAGAAGGGACGCTGAGGCTGGATGTACAGTGAAGGACAAACAACATTACCAGTCTCAAAAAAAAAAAAAAATGGAAGAGCAAATCTCGTCACAACACTCTAATTAGTGAAGGCTTTATTCAGAGAAGTTAAAGCTACAAAACTAGAATCATAAATAGCAACATAAACTTTTGGTTTAATTTTATTTCCTCTAATAGTTGTTCCTTGAACTGAAATACTTCTGTATTTTACACAGGGAGTGAATTTTATGGAGACAAAATTTGACTTGACAAAGTGATATGTGAAAAGTTGTTAGCAAAAGTAAGAAACCTAGCGATACAGCCTCCTCTTGTGGAAGTTAACAGGAGGAGCCATTTATCAGGATTCCCAGCTTCAGGCCTAGGTACAATTACTTCCTTTTTTTCTTCTTTCCCGATTTAAAAAACATCTGGAAACAAAACAGACAGCATTTACTGATGATGAATATCCCAGTTTCCACACAGGCCAGAAGGAACCCAATCACATCCAAAGAGTAGTACTGGAACCAGGAGAGGTCATGGACAGCAACCCGGAGGTGTTTAGCTCCTTTGTGGCACATGACATACTCAATCCAGAAGACAGCTGGATCCAGAGGCTTCACTGGCTGATCATGTTGAATTCTTGATAACTTCATAGCATTCTCTTTATATCTAAAGGTGAAACATAAAAGGATCAACATTGAAAGTAAGTTAATCTGTCTAAGCACATGAAGCCAATGAAAGTTTTTCATAGGAAAGTGCTATATGGATGATTTAAAATAAATATTATAGACTTGCCCTGTATATGGTATATTTTTGCTTTTATTACCATATTATGTTTGGTTTAAATTGGAATGTTCTGATGTATAAATATCTCAAAAGTTCCTATGGAATTTCAGAGAGGTGAGTAAAATTCTTTCCATCAGAGGAAATAATTATGAGTAATTCTGAGTCTAATAAGTGAGAGAGAAGGCATACACTTTGTGAAAGATTACCTTGAAGCTTTTAAAGAGGAATCATATCATGTTGCTCCAATGCTTCCTAACCATTCTCTGTTTCTCCTCTTCATTTCTACCTTCTATTGTCTCTTTTCCAACTGGTAGCTAGAATGATATTTTTTAAAATATACACATCTAATTATGAAGTTGTATGCTCAAAATTTTCATTTGATTTCTCTTCACAAGTGGAATAAAATCCAAATCTGTTCTTGTACTAGTATATTCAAATGGGTTAGACACTGGCCATGTTTTCTGATATCATTTCCCCTTGCTTATTCTGTCTAGGCATATGTATCTGCATAGTATTCTGTCTAGGCATATTACTTCTGCATAGTAAATAAAATAATCATCACAATGAAGAGGCACACTACAGAATAGGATAAACATTTGCCCTCTCCTCTTTGGATAGGACTAATATTCAAAATGTATAAGGAAATCAAAAGGCAGGAACTCAAAAGGCTTAATACCATAATATTCTCCAAGTAAACCAATCAATAAATAGGCAAATGAGCTGAACAGACATGTTACGGTTTGAATATAGATAACCCCCCCCCCCCATAGCTCATGTGACATCACAGGAATGTTCAAAGTGAGATAATTAGATGATGAGAGGTATAGTCTCATCAGTGGACTAATGCATTTGAATGGAAGTGAATGCATTACTTAGTGATAACTGTAGCCAGGATGTAGCTGGAAGAAGTAGATCACTGGGAGTGTAAACTTGGGGAATATATTTTGTCCCTGAATCCCTGTCACTCCCTCTCTCTGATTTCTGATTGCCATGAGCTGAGCAGCTTTCCTCTGCCATGCTGTTCTGCTGTGATTTTCAACCTCATCTCAGGCCTACAGTAATGAAGTTGGCTGATGGTGGACTGAACCTCTAAAACCATGATTAATAATAAAGTTTTCCTTGTCTAAGTTAAGTTCTTCCTGTCAGGTATTTTTGTCACAACAACAAAATCTGACTAATACAATATATTTAAAAAAATGTTAAACATCTTTAACCAATGCAAAATAATACTACACTAAGATTCCATCTCAGCCCAGTCAGAATGACTATCATCAGGAATCCAAGTAACAATAATAGCTGGCAAAGGATGCAGGGAAAAAGGAACATTTATACACTATTGGTGCAAATGGAAAGCAATGTATTCAATGAGGGTGGAATTTCCTCAAAAAACTAAACATAGAACTACCATACAAGGAAGGTATACTATGTTGGGTATATGCTGAAAAGAATCAAAATTATCATACTAGAGTGATGCCTGCATACTTACACTCTTCATGGCACAATTCACAGTGGCCAAATTATAGAATCAGCCCAGGTTTCCATCAACAAATGAGTGGAAAAAGAAAATGTGTTATATATCACAGACACATACACACACACACACACACAGACACAGTATTATTGAGCCATAAAGAATGAAATTAGATCATTTGTAGGAAAATAGATAAAAATAGAAATTCTAATATTAAATGAAATAAATTTAAAAAATCAGAAAAATATTGCATATTTTCCCTGATATGTGGAATCTGACAGGGAGATGTAATATAAAAGTAACAGGAAGACTATTATATAAGAGGAAGAGGATCAGGAGAGGAGGAGAAGAGATTGTTAAGGTACTGTAAAGTTTTCTAGGACATAATGTATTAACTTCATATTAAATTAAATTCATAATAAATTAATTAAGTTCATATTTAATTCTGCCTTTTTAATCTGTATTTTCTTTTCTATGTGCACATTCTGTTTTACTTCTCTTTTTATTCTTTCTTAACTACATTCAGAGCATTTTTATTATTCATTGTCGTACTATTTTCTTTTTGGAAATGTAATTTTGAACTTGTTCTTTAAGTGATACCTTCCTAAACAATTATACTTGTTCTTTAAGTGATACCTTCCTAAACAATTATACTATGAAAAATGAGAGCTGAATTGAAGATAGTCATTCTACAGAGAAACAACTTCACATGATTTCACCTTGCAGTATGGAAAAGGTTGATTATTGAAGTTCAGTTTGATCAAATGTAGAAAATTTTATTGTGCTTCAAAAGTTACCACAGATTAAAAAAATCAACCACATGGAATGTTATAAAAATATCTGCAACTCATATATCTGATGAGATTTATATCCATAAAATATGGTGAAATATTATCATCAATAATTAAAATATAAATAAACTGATTAAAAATGAACAAAGGATTGGAACCGACAGTTCTCTCAAAAAGATAAGTGAATGACCAATAAGCACATAAAGTAATGTTCTTTAGCTATAATGGGAATGCAAGTCATGACCATAGTGAGCTACAATCCTATTCACTAGGATGGCTATAATAAAAGAAACAGGTGATAACAAATTCTGGTAATGATATTGAGAGACTGGATCTCTTATGTTGCTTGGATGCTGCAAAAAATTTTGCAACTAGTTTGTAAAACAGTTTGGAAGATCTTAATACATATAAAATTACCATATGACCCAGTAGTTCTAGTATGAATTACCAGAAGAAATGAATACTTATTTTCATATAAAATTGTACACATTTTTCATAATAATCAAAATTGAAAGCAACAAAAATGTCCATAAACCGATTAATTGATAAATTACTGTGAATATGACATACTTATATCTGAAGTTGTATACAACTCGGAAATAGTACTGATTAAACTGGTTAGAAATACATAAGATTTAACGTGGATTAAATCTTTTAAATTCTTTCAAAAATACTGTCCTCAAAACGGGATAAAACTTATACTCATTTGTCGCGACCCCTTGCCCGCAAGGAAGACGCAACTCGGGAATCTTCTTTCAACAGTTTATTCAGGCCCTTGATATTTCTTCTTCTCTCTCTCTGATGCCCCTCCCAGCCTTAATAAAGCATCCCAAGCCCCAATGCAAAGCTGCCGCGTGGAGCTTTCTCACAGGGTGGTGAAAAATCATGTGCCAACTCTCCCAGATAAGGAGTTGTTTGTCACAGACCACAGCGGAGCCAGCGTCATCTTGTAATGGCGACCATAATCTGCAGAAACGGCAGAAGCGGCTCACCACAGTTCCCCCTTTTCTGTTTTCTTAAAACAATACAGGCGAGAGTAGAGGTCCTATCCCACTGTGCAGAAGTGGCTGCATAGTATGACTCAGTCCTAAGGAGGCGCCTTCCCCAGATCTGAAGCCATATCAGCCGACGCCTTTTTTCGTGGGGCGGGGCGTGAACGCGTCTAACCCGCATGCAATAGGACATGCTCTCCTTGAGGTCCACGTCAAGGATCACTCAAGTGCAGTGCCTTGCCTCGCATCCTGTATCGTGACGATGGTGGACGAAGGGGGATAGCTGAGGCTGAACTGTGGCTGTTTATAATGACAAACAAGTTGACAGCACCCTGAAAGAAAGGCACGAACTTCAAGGCGATAGAAAAGTACTAGTGTGGAAACCCATCTGCGTGCAATGGCAGTAAGACCGGCAGAGTGCAAGGGCTTTCCAACACTAAGAGAATAACAAGGAAAGTCATGTCGATCCCAGTGCAATGTTATAATAACTTGGGGTGTAACGACCATGACAAAGGTTTACTGCTTAAGATGTGCAAGCCAGACTTGAGGCGAGTTGCCATTTTCTAAAGCTGCAAGAGCTTGTATGATCATAGCCTTTTCTTGTGCATGGCGAGTTTTAAGGCGACAGAGAAGCCACAAACAGAGTACAACACTGAAGCAACACATTGCACCAAAAATGCCCACTCCCACCCATTCCTTAAAAAAGGAAAAGGCAGAGGATAGCCAACTGGTGAATTGACCCAAAGTCACTGGTTCGACACGGGTGCTATTCAAAACAGCAATCTGAGTTAGTTGAGACTGGATCAAGTTTTCTGCTTCCATGGACCAGGTTCCGGATAAATATTCCCCGATGATGCGGGAGGCATTTCTGGAATCATAAAATCTGACAGAGGTTATACATAAATGTGCACGTTGATCAATACAACCCAAATGTACTAGGTCAGACAATTCCTCAACTTGAGCTTGAAGCAGAGCTATCCTTTGATTAGCAGCTAGAATCCCAGATAAATTGTGTTGATTAATTTTACTTTGAGACTCAAGTATGGTGGATGTTTGTTGAATAACCTGATTAATAGTGGCAGCAGTTTGTACCTGGCTGGCCATGGCTACTCCAGCTATAACTGCTGCAGCAGCAGATACCACCACAGCTGTCACTATGGCTGCCGTAATTCCAAAATCTCTACGGGCTCTAATCAGTTCAACAATAGGAAATGACTCTGGATCTGCAGTAACCGGGATCGGGACAAAAGTTGGAATTTTCATAACCATTGCCGTAGTCCAGGAGCCATTCCAACACTCAGACAAATAACAGGTAATATTAGAACAATTAAGCATCCCCTGTGATGTAACATTAGCCAAAAGAAACAGGAACGGAGATTGGAGGCAGACTGCTGCGGAGGGTAATGTAGCATTAGATAATTGTGAATTATTTGCAGAAATTTTAAGTCTCCTACCTCGCTCCGAGTCTTGGGTACTTCCAGAAACATTAAACAGCCAACTTTGGACTCCTAATATTTCCCTGGGGAAACACAAGCGCGGACTAGACTAGCCCAATCTGAGGGAGTCATGCAAAATCTAGTAAGTCCCTCCACCTGAGTGAGAGTGAAAGCGGCATCTATGCCATAAGTGCGGACAGATTCTGCCAAGGTTTTAATTATCTTAAAGTCTAAAGGCTCATGATATCTTCCCCTGTTATTGTCCTGAAATACAGGGTATGCAAGTCCCATATCTGTATTAACTGTCCTCCAAACTTGTGCATGAAAAGATCTCCCGGAACCTTGGCTCCCGCCCACATACGGAGGTGGGGCAATCGGCACCATATCTTCTTCTAGATATTCTACCTCCTCCTCCTCAGAGTTTTGTTGACCAATGTTAACTCCCTTCCCCTTCTTACAGTAGGCCTGCGTGCCCTGTGTCTCCTTTTTCTTCTTTTTCATTTTTATCTTATGTAGTTGTTGTAACAATATATCAAGGTCCTCAGAACTCTCTGAGTTGCTTGTGTTCTCAGGCGTTTTTAATTCGGTCAAATCTGGGTAGAGCCTTCTCCTATTTTTATCTTCAGGCTCTTTTGCCTTCTCACTACTGTTACTTTTAATACTCTCTGCCACTTCACTACATGATCCTTCAGATTTTTCCTCATGCAGTTGCTCAAGAATAGCTTGACCCTCACTCACAGCTTCCTGGCATTTACCATCTGTAAGGCAACCACGGACCATTTTCCAAAGGGGTATCACCCCACCCTCTAATATGCCCTGCTCAGAAGCAAAGTCAAGATCTTTGCCTAATTTATCCCAACTAGGCACAGTAAGGCTGCCCGAAAATGCAAACCACGGTGCAGCGATATCTATCTTCTGTAAAAATCTCTGTAAAGTACTATGTTTCACTTCCAGTCCCTTGGAACGCAACAGGCCATCTAGGGCCAGGAGAAGCGGACTTGAAGATGTGGCACCCATGACACAACAACAAAGGAAGCACAAAAAAAAGAAAGCGAAAGTAGGAGCGAAAGTACACAGTGCAGCTGCAATAAAATGTAAGGCTCTCTCTTTCATTACAGAGGAGCTGTCCCGCTTTGGTCGCGGATCCCACTTACTAGGGACTAACCCCGCTTTGATCGCGGATCCCACTTACCTGGGACTAACCGGTGCACCACCCCTGACTGCTGAAAGTTCTGGTTCCCGGGTTTCGGCACCACTTGTCGCGACCCCTTGCCCGCAAGGAAGACGCAACTCGGGAATCTTCTTTCAACAGTTTATTCAGGCCCTTGATATTTCTTCTTCTCTCTCTCTGATGCCCCTCCCAGCCTTAATAAAGCATCCCAAGCCCCAATGCAAAGCTGCCGCGTGGAGCTTTCTCACAGGGTGGTGAAAAATCATGTGCCAACTCTCCCAGATAAGGAGTTGTTTGTCACAGACCACAGCGGAGCCAGCGTCATCTTGTAATGGCGACCATAATCTGCAGAAACGGCAGAAGCGGCTCACCACACTCATTGATGAGAAGACAATCCTTCCATGAATACTACCCAATGTCAAAGTTGTACTTACAAAGGGTCATTAATAACCATCCTCAAGGCCTTGAGAAGATCTGCACTTGTCAGTGTTCTGTAGTCCAATCTAATAGCTGCTCCCTTGGCCTTCACATGAGCAATGTTATCAGGTTGATCTGCAAACAAAGGAATGCCCACCATAGGGATCCCATGGTAGATTGCCTCATAGATGCCATTGGTTCCACCATGAGTTATAAAAGCTTTTGTTTTTGGATGACCTAGGATTGAGTCAATGTCAGCAAAATTATTAATTAAAAATATTAGAAATGAAATGAGAAATGTGTATTATAAGACATTAGAGGGAGCAGTGTATTTTAGATAACAGATTATTGTAACCATGAATTATTAACCTGCACTGAATTATTTTTTTCATGTCTTGGAGGAACAAGCACCTATGTCCACTGGAGTACTAAGTGAAAACTACAGGAAAGAGGGAGTATATGACTTGAGACTTGATAACTGAACACAAGATTGATAGGTGGTAAAAAAAATAGAACATTTTTTTGAGTAAAGGAATCAACATGTACTAATGAAAAATACAGTCATGAAGGACATGTTAGCACATTTTCTCATTAAGAAAAAAAACAAAAACTGAAGTCACTAAGTTTGCCATGTAGCATGTCCAAAGCAGCAGGAAGTAGAATGGTGATGGTACTGAAATCAGAGAACAGAGAGACCACACTTCATTATCAAATGTGTCATTACTTCATAATGAAGATTGTGCTTTCATTTCTATAGAAAATAAAAGAATAGCTGTTAATTAAAACAACAACAACAAAAACAACCTGGTGGTTACATTCAAGTAGTATTTGAGATATTCCTGCACAAAGGGAAAGAATGAGTGAAAGATGTAAAATAAGGGACTGGGGTTGTGACTCAGTTGTAGAGTGCTCACCTTGTAAATGTGAACCACTGGGTTCAATCCTCAGCATAAAAAAATAAGTAAATGTATTGTGTCCATCTACAACTAAAAAAATTATTTTAAAAATAGATGTAAAACAAGACAGAGAGACAATCCAGAAACTGACTGAAAAATTCTTGCAAAGGTAATTGCACCAGAAATAATAAGATAACTTGGATTTTGTATATAATGACTGTGAATAATAAAACTGCAGCTTTTTATTTTGCATTTCCAAACCATCCATGGGTCTGGAAAATAATTTTAAAACAATTTGAACATTGTGTTCAATTTTTTTTACAGTAACAAGTATTCAATAAATGTTTTCTGTTGAACTGTAATCATCCAGATTGACTGTACTCATGTTTTTAGGAGTTATCCCAGAGTCTTAAGAAGAAGGTCATTCTGGGGGATCCATTCGTATATCTGAGTGTTGGGTCCTAATTTATCTGGCTTCTTGCCATTAAATCTCCATATGACCTGTTTGGTAAAGAAAATACCTTATTCTATGATTTAAAGATTAGAGTATGTTTGAATTATAAAAATTTAAGAGATCATCTGGTTCAATATTTTACACATAATAAAATGAATACAAACAATTTTAAACAATGAGAATTCTTAAAATCTAAACTTAAATTCCATATTTATTTTGTTTAATATATTTTACCCTAGCTTTCATTTTTGAAAATTAATATCATCATGTTTACTTCTTTTAATTGACATAGATTGGATATTACATATATTCATTAGTTCTTTAAGGTACTTATTTCAGTTTAGCATTTTTTTATACACAAAAGCAAAACAATACAGTCAGCTACTTGTGAGAAATAAATGAATTCTAACTAGGGATTACAGGTAACTTGTTTTAGATGGCATTTTACTAAGCACTAACTACAAGAATCATTTCACTGGCACGTGTGAACTGTCACCCACACTTTATCAATTTAACCCACACTTTTATTAATGTTGGTGGATTTGGAAATTCTTTTAAGTTTTAAAAGGAAGAGCTTATTAGCAACTTGTAAATAATTGCATGGATTTTGAAATAAAGGGCAAAATTTTGAGGTTGCTAGATTTTTAAAAAGGTTTTGTGGTTATTTAATGATGCACTACAAAGTCTTATTGGTAGTTTCATATAGATTCAAGATATTTTTATGCCTAGAATCAAAACAAGGAGCTGACTTTGGAAATTGAAAGCAGACTTCATGAACTGGAGTATAATTTCTAAGTGCTTAGCTTCTATATGTAATGTGAATAGCAAAGTAACTTTAGTTCTGCAGAAAAGAAAAACACTTGAGTGATTAGGAGAAGACTATATCAGATAGAAAACTACAAAGTATATGGCAAGCACACAAAGATCACAAGAGTATTCTGTATGTAGAAAACGTGGTATTAAAGCATTTCATGGAGCTGCATCTCCTGAATTTCAGCCCATGCTAGGCTTGCTTCTGTTTGACTCTTCCTGATATTGTTAACTCTGAATGTGTTAATCTGATATTTTAGAAGCAATGTCCTTTGGGGCACATTTCATAATAGACAGGGTCCACTTTGAGGGAAGGACTAATCTCTACACATTCTTTAATATTTTCCTTCTTCAGAAATTATCAGGATCCTGTCCATTAGTGCAAGCTGTTTATTTTTTTCTTTTTCTACAAATACATGTGACTTAGTATGAATTTGGAGTCAGGGTTTCAGGCTTGTTCAACTCTGGGTAGCATTTCTCCTCAAAACTCCAGGAACAATTCATTAAAAAAACTTATGCTTTTTTATGGGGGTATTTTGAACTCATAGTTTCAGAGGTTCAGCACATGTTTGGCAGACTCCAATGCTCTGAGCCAGAGATGAGGTAGAATAGGATTTCAAGAAGCTTCTTCTTAAATAAGGGTAAGCAAGGAACAAGGTACTGCATAGGATATCTAAAATCATGATAAAATTTAGCCTTTTTCAATACCTGCTTACTATTATTGTGGTGGTCCAGTTATGAGTTAACTTTTTGTAGCTTTCTGATAACATTTGCTTTGTATATGGTACCCTCAGGAATCCTGCAGGGAAAAGGAAGAAGTGGCAGGGAAGAATGTGGTATCTGTGTAAATGGTGTGATAACCTTAGAGTTAAATTTTCACAATAGACCTGTAAAATATATTCTTTATAATCATAATGTTAATGTTAACATGAATTAAACACTCTCTACTGTTTAGAAATACCACACATATTTTTGTTTAAAGCATGATTTCTGAGATGATTTATATGTATCATGATAGGTTTATGTTTCACAAAGGATGCTTCATTAATCAAACCCTTTATAAAGTTTAACAGACTTTTACATACTTGTTCACTAAACGGTCACTTTTTCTTACCTTTTGTGGAATCTGTGCAAGGGCAAATGCAATTATATTGGCTTTCTCTTCTGGCGTGTTAGGGACCATTGACCCCAGAGAAAACACCACAATACCATTTTCTCCAGAACTCTGTACAAATTCTTCCATTTCCTGTGAAGAAAACATTTGCTCCATCAAAAAAGTTCAACAGGGAGGGGATTCAAGATGTCAGATTAGAGGAAGGCTGCCTTCTTAATTCCTCCAAGGTTCAAAATACAAGCAGTGAGAATACTGCTTCTTAGTGAGGTAGGTGAAAGAATGATTTCACTAAAATTTAAGATTGTACAATCAGAGTATCTCAGAGACTCAGAAGTTTGTATTCATTAAACAAAGAATACTACATTGGAACCAAAGTATTTGTGGAAGTGGCTGTAGTAGTAGTAATGGTGCTGTCTACCACAAAGAAAGAAAATTACAGAGAGAAATACAGTGGACATGTTTGATATAAAAAAAACCTGAGGTCAGAAAAGCAGCCTGAAATTAGCTGATCCAGAGGCTGCACTGTGCACTGATAATTGAAAAAATGATGTTTCTTTACTTGTTGGGGAGAGATGTGGTGCAGTGATCTTGAAGTGGCCGTACTTCAGCTGCTGCTAGAACTGGGAGATCAGAGTGAACACTGCTGCAATGCCTACTGTGTGGCCTAGTGTATACCTAGCTAAATGGGAGTAAAAAGGCACAGAGAAGATTTTACTCCAGGGGAATCAAGTCAAAAAAGCAAAGTGGGAACACAACTTCCTTCTCCTTTGAGACTGGTGGTTCATATGACCAGGTACAGTGGGTAGAGAATCTGACAATATAGGCGTGGAAACACTCAGGGACTATGCCTGGGAAAACTGTGCCGGGGGGCCTCAGAATGTGTGGAGGATCACCTCCCCTTCTGTTATGGGCTAATTTGAAAATTAAGTCAGGCTGAGTATATTTTGCTCAGACAAATCATCCTGTGCAGACTTGGTCCCCCTTTCTGCATGAGCCCACTCACACAGAGCTGAAATCTCTACCCTCACCCACTTGCACACCGACCACAATGTATTTAAACTTTGGAACTAATGCAAGCTTGCTTCCTGATTATGTATAAAAAGGTGCCAATTCTGAGAACTTGGTGCTTTCCACTTTATGAATTGTGTCCTATGATTGTACTTGCCTCTCCCACCCCCATTCTTTGTGGTTTTTCTGTTTTTAAGATGCCTCCCCACCAGTGTTCAGTGTCTTGGGCTGTAGGACTGTCTGCTTTCTTCTCCCTTGGCCCTGACCAGAATAAATCCTGTGTCTTTTCTTCAAAAACACACAGAATTTTATTTGGGATTTTGAAATAGCACCTTAATATGGCCAAATGAATAGAATTCTTGGGAGGCTACTGAGATTTAGACTTCTTACAGAGATCAGCAACTGCCAGGCCCTAGGTGTGTGTCCATCTACTCTCTTCAGAGCAGACACCCAACAAAGGTGATTAGACCTAAGCCTCATCCATCAGAATCCCCCTCATAGAACACTGAAGCAACCCATCCTGGTGTGCATAGATCTGTCTGTGCAGGCAAAGCTCCAATTGATAGTTCTTCCTATTTCATCCTATGTCATACCAGTAAGAAGGGAAGCTGAGACTTATGTAAAACAGCTTTAGTCTTAGGCCACTCCAACTGCTCAGAAAGAAACACAAGGATAAAGGGGATAACAAAACCCATTCTTTGCTCTGGCTCTCCATACATAGCTTAAGAAGAAATGGAAAGAAAGACAGTTGGGTGATCAGCCATTGTGTTGGTGATCATTCATTTTGCTGACTGTTTTGAACACTTCAGTGAAAATGATTCTTTCTTTCTTTTTTTTCACTTTTTATATTTACTTTATTTATTTTTATGTGGTGCTGAGGATCAAACCCAGTTCCTCTCATGTGAGGGGACAAGCGCTCTATCACTGAGCCATAACCCCAGCTCCTCATTCTTTTTTAAAAAATATTTTTTTAGTTGTAGATGGACACAATATCTTTATTTTATTTATTTATTTTTATGTGGTGCTGAGGATCAAACCAGTGCTTCACGTATGTGAGGCCAGTGTTCTACCACTGAGCCACAACCCCAGCCCTAGTAATTTTATTCTTACTGCTTTTGTGACAAATATTGGTGGGGCTTCTCCTAAACCAAACTCCCAGATGGAAGTGAATGTGCAACCCCTAGGGGTCAGTGACTGACAACTGCCTTTTTTAATCTCCCTGTAGCCAGTTGTGCCTAAGGGAATGGTCAGAATAGGAGGTGTCAAGTGCTGCTATTACTCTTGAGGACTGGAAACAGCATACAGGGTAGAGTAGAAAATACAAGAGAGAATGAGCTACATCTAAGAGAAGAAGGAATATTTAGGTTAGGATTCTTAACCAGGGCTTCATATTGGAATCTTTCATTTATCATTAATAATATTTTTACTTTTTCTTATTCTGTGTGTGTGTGTGTGTGTGTGTGTGTTCTTTCAGGGCTCTTTGGTTCATGGACATATATCCACATTTTTTTTTCTTAGCATTTTTTTAAATGTAGTTATTTTCCTTGTCTTGTCTTTTGAGGGTTAGGATTTTTGATCTGTATATTTTTGTTCATTTTGTATTGTTTTCATTTGTTTATTTCTCTTTCTCTCTTTTACTGCTGATAGCCAAAATCTATTTTTTCTTTCTCTCCTCCTTTACTTTTTTCCTCCTATTTTCTCCTCTAACCTCATAACTGTCACCTGCAACATTTCTATGGCATTCTCTGTGTTCACTTTTGAAAATTGCAAACCCTTTTCTACCTTCCTATCACACTTCATTCCTCTTAGTTTACTGTATTTTTACCATCTTTTGGAACTAACTGGTTTATATATCTCCTGCTCCTACCATTAACACTTTTGCAATTATTACTTATGTGGATGACATCCTTGACACCTGTTTCTTGATTTAATGCCAGATCTACACCTTGTTGTTGTTATTAAAAATTGCTGACCCCACCATTTCTTTTTTTTTTCTCTCTTTCTTTTTTTTTTTTTAGTAATTGACGTTGTAGAAGCCATAATAGAATCCAAGTATTTATTTATTTTAATGCTGTATATTGCTTGTTTTGTTTTTATCATTTGTTTCCCCCTATTCTGTGACTAAGTGGAAATCTATAGTGTCACTACAAGTTCACAGGGTAGAGAAGTCTCCAGCTAAAATAAATTCAAACAAAATACAGTTCACCTTGCTCCACATAAAAATTAATGACACTCAATCTCTGCTTATACTTTAATACAAAGATTAAAAAACACACTATTGATAAGACCTTAATTAGAAACAGCTGGGGGTGAGCTTGTAGCTTCTACTTATGGAAATCCCTTGCCAGAGCCAAAACAGAGAGAATTAATGCAAAGCTGTGAATACCACACCTACAAGGGTGTCGAAATCAAGATCATTCTAGGACACTTTGGACAGTAAAGACAATGCTCTATATAGAGTGGAAGAGATATTCACCCCTAATAGATGTGTAAAATCCAACACAGGTCTACAAGAAATATGTAAAAACAAGATAATATTAAACCACATAGAGTTCATAATTCACCAACAAATGACCCCAAAGAAATTGTACTATATAAAATATCAGATAAAGAATTCAAAAACTCATTATAAAAATGATCAATGAATTCCTAGAGAACATAGAAAAACAATTGAATGAACTAAGGAAGTTACTATAGAATACAAATTAAAAATGAAATGAGGTAGAAATATTGAAAGAGAACCAAACATGAATCTTGGAAATGAAAGACAAAATAAATCAAAGAAAATGTCCAGTTGAAAGTCTCTATAAAACAGTAGATAATTCTGAGAACAAAATCTCAGATATAAAAGAAAAAGTGGTCATCCTTGAACATTCAGACAGTTTTAAAGTAAAGAAAATAAGTAACCATGATCAGAATATAGATGTTAGGACAACATTAAGAGATTAAATGTAAGAACCATTGGAATTGAGGAGGGTTGTGAGAGGCAGGCTAAGAGAAATTATTTCCTTTTAAGGGAAATAATAATAAAAAAATTTCCAAACCTTGAGAATGAGACAGCTATCCAGATTCAGAGGGATATATCCAGATATGGGACCCCAAATACACAGGATCAAAAAAGAACCTTTCTAGAGTACATTAAAATTAAAATGCCTAACATACAGAACTAAAATAGAATTTTAAAATCCTTAAGAGAAAATTGTCAGGTCAGGTTTAGAGGCAAGACAATCAGAATCACTTCTCATATCTTAGCACAAACTCTAAAAACCAGGAGATCTTGGAACAATAAGTTCAAAGTCCTAAAAGAAAATAACTGTCAACCAAGACTGCTATATACAGCAAAGCTATTCTTCAAAATCAAGTTGAAATAAAAACTTCCCTAGATAAGCAAAAAGTAAAAGAATTCATAACAACTAAACCAGCAAAACAGAACTTATTTAAAAAAATGATTCCTATGGAAGAAATAAAAAACAAGCCCCAGAGTTCAAAAATGAACAAATCTGATTTGAAGAGTAACTAAACAAATGAGAACTGGAACAAATAAACATAAATAAATCAAAATGACAGAAATTAATAAATATCCCTTTGTTATTATATTGAATATAAATGGTCTCAATTCTCCAATTTAAACATATAGTCTGTCAGAATGGATTATAAAAAAAAGAGCCAATGATATGTTGTTTGCAAAATATGCACCTTACAGATAAAAGCAGCCACAGTCTGAAGCAAAAGGATAAAAATGATACATAATGCAAAGAGAAACACAAAATAAGCAGGATTAACTAATATCATATCTGACAAAGCAGACTTCAAATCAAAATTAATCAGAAGAGATGAATATAGTCACTTCCTACTGGTAAATTCAATAATTTAACAAGAAGATATAACAATTATAAATATTTAAGTCACAAACATGGGTCTAACTAATGAAATAAAGGAGACACTACTCAAATTGAAGCCTCAGATAGACATAAGTACAATAATACTGGGTGATTTTCAATAGTTTGTTTATCAAGGTCATTGAAACATAAAGTCAGTAAAGACTCTTTGAACCTGAAAAATATTATGAGTCCAATGGACTTAAAGATGTTTATAGAATATTTCATTCAACATAATATTAATAC